GCCGGATTAATCTCCTAACAAACTAAGGAAAATCCAGCTCGCCAACGTGTAGGTCGCCGCCCAATTTCACCATCCAGTACGAGATCTGCACAACCTTCCGCAATAAAATCATACACCACACTTACGGTCTTACTAATGTACGTAGCAGTACCGAAAACACGATATAATCAATCAACACTGCTTGGCATTTGCACCCATCAGTGGGTTGCGCCCACTCTTCGCGTTGCTAAGGTAAAAAATCTTCCTTCGACCAAACGAAATTCGCAACTATAGATTTATAGGCCAGGATGTTCCAGATTCGAGACCCGACATCATTTGACCGACAACTTTATGTATGAGTAAGCTACTGGCCAGATGCATTGATCGCTTATGTCCGTAATTTGCTCTTTGATATTCCGGACAAGTACCACACTTTTCAAAGCTTATAACATGTTGCGGGAGGGTTTTAATTTCTCATTATTTAAAAAAAACTGTTATAAAAGGTAAAGTAACATAATTGACCGAAGTTTTAAATGTATTCCGAAATCCGTATTCTACGAATATATTCCGTATTCGTTTTGGTAATGCCAGTATTTAATTGTTATTAGACCCATTAGCGTACATTTTTATAAAAGAGAAACGAATGCATAATATTTCTCGTAGAAGATAAAATACATTCTACAGATGCATGTATGTATTTGGCATTTTGTGTCGATTATCCGACTTTCCCGGCTAGCTTTGTAGCTTGTTTGTCCTGGGGGAATGGACGATGAGATGATGATATGATGATGATCATGATGATGATGGTTGGGGATGAATGGACGGCACACACACATATAGACCATGCGGGGGCGGGATTCAAACCCGCGGTGCTCCGCCGCTATAGCACTACTGCCCTATCTCGACCACCTGACCGGCTATTTTACGGATGTGACAGTAGTAAATAGGTTTTTTTGTAAGAATATTATTCGATGTTCTTGAAGAGTAACCGGAGAAAAATGCAATTCTCTGACAATAACTATTACTATTTAATGTGCATTCCGGAAATGAATTCATCCGTCTTCTTATAAATTCATGTTTTCTCTCCATTTACTTACTAACTATGAAATTTATCAAAAGGGAGTGTAAATCATGATTCGCTAGACAGTGTTCGTACCATATGTACCTGAGTCATGAAAATTGGACAGTTTTCAGAAAATGAGTTTTGTTCATTTTTTTGTGCTGTTTAACCCCACTGTGCGACGGTTGCGGCGGCGCAAGTGACGTACATCACAGGGGGGTGGGAGGGTGCTAGCTCCTTTGCGCGTCCCAACGGCCATTTACGTCGCCCTGTCGCCGCAGGCACCACGAGCTTTCGAGTCACGTGTTCTCCTCTTCGCAGTTCTCAACTGTTACTTCCGAATCGCTCGGACCTGCGTGCCACCAGCTGGAAAACAGCCACGAGCAATTTTCATTGCAGGTCCAGGCTTTGACCCTCATTCGTTTTTGCGCTGATTCACGTAAAAGTTTGTACTAAAAAAAATACTACTGTGCATTTAAAGGGGGCGATATAGTATTCAAAGTCTAATGAGAAATAAGTATTTATTTATTTATGTAACGTCAAAAACAGTGAAAAACTGTGTCTGATATACTGTGGAGAGAAGTGTATTATGTGCATGTTCTCTTAAATTCCTAAGTCTCCACCCAACTATTCGTTTTACGAAACGACAATAGACACCGTACATGATCCGTACATGCTCTGCAGAGATACCGATTTCGGTTAAAACACTTATATAATAAAGTAAATTTTTACAACACAATAATTCTTATGCAGGCAGATGGAGTTCGTGCATTTCTCTAATTAGTTAATTTCATTGCCAAATTACTCCGCTTCATATACTCTGAAACTTCCAAAATGAAGATGGAAATACGAAGCCTCATCCTCATCCGCATCCTCTTCATTCGATCATATTTTTCATTTCTTCATCGATTTACCTTTTATTTACAAATAACCTTCCAAGTTAACATTTATTTTTAAAATTCTACTCTCCCCAAGCACATAAACAACATAATCTTCTTTTCTTTATCTATAATTCTTGTATATCCTATTAATATTTCCTACTTGCTTTCCTACTTTCTTTTAAATACGGCAAATTTGTAATGGCATTAAATATCATAAAGTTGTAATCTTCTTTTCTGTAACTAATATTCGCCTTATCCTTCCTCTCTTTTGTATCTCACATTATATTTTTAAATCTTCATCATTGAATATTAATCTAAACCCTCCCTCTATATTTTTTCTTCTTCAATTACTCCATTGCCTTCTTTCAATCATTTTACCTTTTCCAACTTCTTATTTTCAATCCTTATCATCGCGTGTTCACCATCATTTTCAACACCTTCCAATATTTGCCTCTTTTCTCTGCATAACTCTCATATCAACATTCCTTTTACCAACTTCTTCCCCCTTTCAAATACACCTTCCTATGTTTCTTCCGCATGTGTTTCTTCCTGTGAAATTTTAATAATGTTGTTCAAACTTTATGTGAGATAATCCACATAATCCACATAATAAAATGTTAGTTTCAAATTCGCAGGACCTTCAATGAGCTTAGTCCTATTGAAGAATATCAATTTCGGAGAAAATCGTCTGAACACTAATGTTAACCACAGCTGGAGAGACTATTGACATGGAGTGTGAAGCCGTGAATGAAAGTTTCAGCATGAATGACCCAGAAAACATACATTCTGACTATACAATGTGTTAAAGACAGTAATTTACTACATATTGGAATAAGATTTATCATATTTTAATTTTTTCAACTTCTACATCCTTATGTTCTAAAGGCAAACTATTCTGACGCTGCAGTCGCAATTAGCATTTTTTCGTCAAAAACTCATTTTGCGGGGTATTTACACGTATGAGTTCCATGATAATTAAATGTTGAGGCATCTCTTTAAATATTTTCTGTAGCTCCACACTCTAGAGTATGCTCTAGAGGTTTTTCACTCTGGTAGACATTGCCTGGTGGCCAATAGTGACCACAGATACTTCATCAAGAGGAAAATCGAGTTGCAGAAAGCTCATACAGAATGTAGGCTTTATTTGAAAGCACTAAAATCGTATCGTTCATTGTTTATCGGGCGTTTTACAAGAATCCTTAACTTTTTCAAAATTTTCTTAAACATTTCTCCAAATATTTGGGTTAATATTTTCTTCAGGTGAAGCAAAGGACGCTTAAAAAATAGCGCTGGTTTTACTTTCGTTGAACTCCCTTCATATTCAAAAGTTGCATAAGTATAAGTAATGCGAGAACGAATGTCCTGTTGTAGCACCATTACTTTTAAAACATCAATGTCTTGCGTTTTATTAAGCCTTTATCACCTCAGTTTTCATATTAGTGCTTTCGCTCCCAAGACAAACATCCACCTCACCGTCGTGCTCCACCACACAATATAACTCTTCCATTTTATCACACATATCACGTCTCGCAAAGGTCGTGCATGATACGGCCATCATTGACACCAATCTGTAGTCCGAGATTTTTCCTTCTCGCCTTTCCTTCTTTTTTTTCACTTATTGGAAATTTCCCCTTCCTAATCCACGTACCTCCTCCCTCTATTTTGTTGGAACATTTTTTTTTAATATTTGACTCCAGTTTTCTATCATATATAAAATTTCTTAATGGTCCTACTTTCTTCCTGGTGTCTTTCTCATTTACAATATCAACTCCATCTACATCTACAACATCAAGAACAACAACTACAACATTTGAACTTGTAGTGTACAGAAATAGATGTTTCCATCATTGACAACTAGGAGACTACCATATTTCAAGAATACCCAATTTCTATCTTCATTTTTTGTATGATAAAACCTCCGAAATGCTGTGAGAATTGTGTGCGAAACACATATTCTCGAAGTTGACTACTAACATTAGAAATTTTTCTTGGGTATTGCACGATATGTGATGGTTCACAATGAACTTGACTCCTATATGGTTTTGAATTTCTCTCCTCTATAACTCTGCCGATTTATTAAATAATGATGTTGAGCGCTATAAGTTTGTTATCTCAGTCAATTACTCTTTTCGAGCGGTTGAGGGAACGACCTTTTCGTTTTCCTGTTATACCTCAATTCCCGATTGAAATTTATGTCGACACAAGTGTTTATAGATTTGCACTTTTTCTTTCATCATATTTGCGAAACAGCCTATTAGAACACTTTGTATTCATTCCGAATGCGAGTAAACTATTTTGGTAATCAACGAGGTTTATTACAGCGCGCAGTTTCAAGCATTTTTTTTTCAAGAGGGAAAAGAAGGACCTGAAAAAGGACAATGTCGAAAAAGGAACCAATATCACGATACACTTAAACGACTGAAATCGAAGTAACCCTCCGTTAGTGTTGTGAACCTCACCAACGAGTTAGCAAAATAAAGATGATCAATACAAATTTATTTAATTCAGTGTAGTTTAATTAATAATGTTCGACAAAAGTAATTCAAATATCTCAACAGGCGCCCTTGCGTCTCTCGTACGCTCTACTCGTTTTTTTCAAAATAGTTGTACATAACCATTTTTGAACATGATTAAAAGTCCGAAGCTCTCTTTGCATCTTCCGCTTTGCTGACCTTTTGAATTTTCTGGTTCTTACTGCTTCAACGCCCGTTCCAAGTCCATCATCTCAAAATTCGTGTGTTCTACCTCTCTCTGATAATACTCTACCTCCTTCTGCCACCTATTCTACCACCTCCTTGAATTTTGAAAATAGTTTTTTGTGCCCTAAATGAGTTGAATCTAACTTGCTGTGATCATGGAATGAATTGAAATAATGTATAACACTCAAATCTTCGTTTCATTTCCCTTTATTGTTACTGCAATTACTTTTGTTTATAATACTGCCAGTTTTTCTTTAATTGCATGAAATCATTTTCATTCTGCACACTAAAAAAACTAAAATTTCGTTTAGTAAATCTTATATACCAAATGTGTTGCAGGTAGACATCTCCACCAACAATTTCCTTTTCATTCTAATTGATATGGAACAGAACACTGGGACTATGGATACAAGATTTTCTCAAGAAAAAATAGATTTTCAAGAACAACAGTTTTTGAATCCTCCTAGCTCCATGGCAAGCCCAGATTCAACTGTTAAGGATGATTATACATACACTGAGATGCACTGTGTAGCACCAGAGGAGTATGACCTAAGGAAATCGGCAGAGAACAATGAATTACCAGAGAGCGTGAAAAGTGTTTCTCCTCCGGGAGAGGCGAACTCAATTGGATATGACGGTGTCGACTCGACCATGGATGTGGACGACTGTACTTCTTCGGATATCGACTTCAATTTCAACATTGCCATTAATTATATAATGAGTGAAATGGAATCATCAGGTAAGACTCAGGACCTCACAGTTGAAGTGGAGTTGTTAAGGAAAGATTTTCATTATTAAAAGTATGAACGAATGATCTAAATATTCACCCCAGAACAATTTTTTGAGTGCTTGCATGAGTGCGCATCTGAACAGAATTAAATCGGCAATTTCAAATTACCGTATATACTTATAATACAATTGTATTATTTTCCATACACTGAAGCTATTGAAAGTGACTCTGATCCAGTATATCTTTTCTTTTTGTCGCAATTAAGTTTCAATACATTTTTTGTATTAGTGTCCTAGAAGAAATCAAAGACAATAAACATATTTTTCAAGCTCAAAAAAGCATTAAACAAAAACGTCCGAATTAACTACAACGACAATTCCACTATGGTCAAAAGTAGAATTCTGCGACTGTGTGCAGAAAAGTACTGAAGGTTTCGTATCCGTGCACGGCGTATTTTGTATATAATTCATGGGCGCGTATGTAGAAAAGTCGTGGTACATCGCCCTTCTATATTAATGTAATCATTAAAACGACCATGTGACTTTTTATTTTCGTGATGGGTTAATCTACTTTGCAGTGCATAGCCTGAGATATGCTACATCTTCGGATTTACGCCACAAGAAGGGCATTAACTTTGCTTAAACAAAAATATGTCTTCTCCGAAGAAAAAGCCTCTTCATTTCTCTTTATTTTGTGTTCCTTAACTCGCGAATAAAACATTATTTAGATTTTAGAATCTATGATCGTAGAAGAATGGAGCCAAATAGTTTGTTTCCTCATCTGTGAGGAGTTGGAATGCAAGACAAATTGTCTATGCTGAACTCTAAATTTCTGTTGAAAATATATACTTATCTGGAATTAGACTGAACGATTAATTTAACAGGTGTCTCCTTCAGTAATTTCATTCAAGAGGGTAATGAGATCACAGATTCTGCATTAAATATTCATGTCGCAGTAAATTTCATCATAGCTGAATCGAAACTTGAAGGTAAGACAGGGTCCTTCACATCTGAAACAAACAGCTAGAGACAAACAAGCCAGGCAAATATCAAGAAAATGAAATTTCAAATATATCGCCAGTAAAGAAATGATGTCACAGTTACAAAAATTATAAAAATTAGAGTTACTTGCAGGGAAATAGAAGTTCAATAATAAATTATTGATTTTTTTTCAGTATGGTTGCGGTTTCGGGACTGCGTTCAGGGAACGCCTCTCAAGTGCTAATATACCATTAAATTCGAAACATTATTCCTAGATAAAAAAGAACCCCAGGGAAATGACATTCAACCCATCAACAACGCCATGTGTTGTTCGTATGTGCACTCTGAGTCGGCGCTGTTTCTAAGGGTTCACCCGCCCTTGCGTTTTCCTGTTCTACTTGCTTGCGGAGTCACGAGAGCCGTCGGTCTTCCTCGCTGGAAGCATAAGCATCCCCATTAAGGGGGTCCCTATTTTTTTATAAATACTTTTGCGTGATTTTGGCGTCGTGACATTGAATGATCGTCATTGATAAAATTTGATACATTTTAAGGTATTGACGTCAATAAACGAAATACGAAACTGGAAGAGCTCTCCTTCACAAATGACGTACAGATCACCTAGACCCCTTCACAAACAACAATCCAATGGAACCCTATATTCAATACTCTCCATGCCTGGTCCCCTAAACCTACCTTCCATCTCTGACCCCTACCTCGAATATCCACCCCCATACCTCCACCTCCAAACTTCCACCTCCAAACTTCCTCTTCCAAACCTCCAATTCAAACCTCCAACCAACACTCTATCCCCAAAAGTCCACTCCCAAACCTTCAGCCCCAAACCTCCACCCCAAACCACCCCCGAACATCTACCGTGGAGCATCCACCCCCGAATCTCCTCGATCCTCTATCCCCGACCACCACCTCTGTACATCCACTCCCGAATTTCCGTCTCCAAACGTCCTCTTCGGACTTTCCACTTCCTACTCTCCACTCACCACTCTTCACTCTTCACTCTTGACTCTCTGTTCTCGACTCTCCAACCGACTTAGGTAGCTCAGCGCATGACTTGATATCACTGCAGTGACTCTGAGTGGGAGATCCTAGGTTCGAGTCCCGACGGTCACTGGATTTTCGAGTCTTGCTACAAAACTAGGTTGAATTGTAGCGGCCCGCTGATCTAATCGGTAGTTTTCCGTGGTTTCTTTGAGCAACAACAGGCGAATGCCGGGGCCGTACCCTGACAAACAGTCCACGGACCACACGCTATATTTTCTTCTTCTTCCTTGCCGTATCTTCAACCCTCCCAACTTACACTCAAATGCACTGAACCTCACAACACAAACAGAGAAATCAGTCAGGGGCGTAGAGCATGTTTCTGCTGGTGTGTTGCCCGGCTGGTGGGAGATTCCTGGTTGGGGAAAATTCCGCTGGCCAATGGAGAGCTCGACGGCGAACACGCCATCTCCCACCAATTAAGGGGAATACCACCGCCACCTCCCGCAATTGCTACATGCGCTATGGTACGAATGACCTTAGCAGTTGATACGTCCGGAATAACTAATCAATCAATTAATCAATCGGCTCTCGACTCTCCTCTGCCAATTCCCCACTCCCGACTTTCCACTCCCATCCTACGGCTTTCCATCCCCTAACCCACTTTCCCAAACTGTACAACCGATAAGTGTTCTGCTCCGAGAGACTCGTATATATTCCCTGATAATCGCTCATACCTGCAAAGGGTACACACAAACTCGTGCAATTGGTGGGGCACTTGAAATGCGTTCCATGTTGCCCTTCAGTTGAACCGATGATGATATTCGTTTTATTGATTAACATTCTGAATATTTTCTTACAAATTGAAAGTACAATGATGGATTTGAATTATTCAATTGCGCAGTGAATAAAATGAGAACTTGATTTTTGCATTTATTTCTACATTAGAGCTGTTTTTATAAAAAAAATGTGTTAATAAAACATTTTTCTCTGGAGATTTCATGTAATTTTTTCTACAGGATAGGTCAAATCGCGTCATTCTAACCACGATAGTTTGACAAGGCATGTAGATGAACATTTATAACTTGTCAGTCAACGTCAACGTTTTCCCCGAGTTTTTGCCAAGTCTTGCTTAACCTGATTCAATTGAAATTGAGTTGTGTCTGTTTTTAATTATATTATTACATTTACTCTTTTTGTCCTTCAGTCTTTTGTCAAATGTTAAAGTATAAAAACTATTATATATTCACAAAATATAGATTATGCTTTTAATTTTTTTAACATTTTATTTCTTCTTAGACTTCAATTTTGATTGACAGGTTTTTAAATGTGTGACTGTATTCAGACATGTAAATATTATGAATATATAACGGCATCGTGGAAATACTGTGAATATATAACAGTTTTGTTTCTGTTTGGCCTCGAATTTTTTGACAAACATTAAATTATAAAGTGTAATGAATCTGATTCAGTTTTTCCATTAATGTACGCGAATTCGATATATATATATATATATATATATATATATATATATATATATATATATATATATATATATATTGCAATTTTTGTTCTCTTTTCAATTTTTGAATGTAAAACTCACTAGACGTTTGAGGGGATGCTAGTTTTCTCTCGAAAGTTAACAATATTTTCATAATTTTTGCCTTGCAATAAAAGAAAGTCACAAAGTAATCAGTATTTACAGAAAATGGATTTTTTGCTGACTTCGTGTTAGTGAAGTAATTTCTTTTATCGCAACATCACCATAGGTATACAGTATTTTTTGAGTTTTTTAAACTAAAAACCTTGTATACAAAAATATATATATTTTTAATTTGCATCATTTAGCCTGTAGTGATTGTTTCATATGAATTCTGGGGCCAACTTTTCCGTGTGTTCCCATATCTGTGAGGCCCTGGAATGACCTACAAATCTAAGATGGACTGTTTTGAAATTATTATTTTATCTTGTGATGGATTTTTTTAATTACTATTTTATCTAGTGATTATTTCTGAACAAAATTGTTCTTTCTGGGAGATAAATGAATTGACTTGTGTCTTATTAATTGTTCAGATGCAGTCTCCAATTTGTGCTTGAAGGACTATGAAAACAGCACCATCAGGAAAGTTCTTATTTCAACTCTAATATCACCTGACTACCTACCAGTTTACACACAGTTTTATGGAAAGAACATGTTTTTTATTCTGGAGTTTGGCTACCGAGTTGCAGAAACAGCCATGAAACTCCCAGGTATTGTTAGTTTAGTCTTTTACAAAAGAACTGCTTCGTCTTTTTCTGTCTATCCCAATATCTGTTTACTTGGAAAGCATAAAATTTACCCCATTCGATTAGATTGTGAATCTATAATGTTCATTTTTATTAAATGATTATATCTTTTAACTACAAAATTCAATTTTGTGCAACACAATTATTGAGAATGTTCTTTTATATCTTCATATGAGCACAAACTAATATGTGTAAGCGTAAATCTATATTTTTTACTACTTCAATAATATTTACTTTTGTTACGTTTTTAAAAAGTGTTGGTAAATTATTTGATATCCATGCCAATTTTCTTCATTGGTGCCTATGAGAGTGTTATTAAAATTATTGACTATTTTCGTAAAAAAATCCTCGCGTTCGTAATGATATTTAAATGCTTTTTATCTACGAGGGTGATCTAACAGGTAAATAGCGCTAAAATTTCGGTTAAATTATGAGCTTCGCAATGTTCTTATGGATTCAGAATAACTCTTACTGATGACAACCAACACAAATAATTAAAAAATGAGTCGTTATTGTCGAAACTAACACATTTAGTACCTAACAATTGATTAAAATGCTATAAAATGAAAAACTATCCGCCGTAGATAAAATATTGAATGACAAGTGTTTGATATCACGTCAGATGAAAAGGAAACAAGCGTAGCTTAAGCACTAGAGGGCTGACGACTCTTACTGTAAAAGCGATGTTCGTTTAATTACGATGTCAATACGTTTTTCTTTTGTAAGTATTAAAATTGCATCTCTCTTTGAATCGCAGTATTGAATTTGGCGGATCTGATCCGCGCTGAGTTCGACATCGCATTCTTCACTGACGAAGCAAAGCAAGGTTTCCTTGCTTTCAGTGAAGCTGAATATGCTTTTCTAGCCGGAGTCAACTCTGCCACAACTCCTGATGAAACACGAATGTGAGTAGGCAAAAAGAATTTCTTTTGAGTCGTTTCTGTAATGTGTAATTTGTTGTAAGTCGTTTTATTTGCCTGTAATTAACGTAAAATTAAGTGAAAACAACACATAGTTTTTTAAATTGTATTTTAAATATAATCATTTAAAATTATTAAAATATTTGTCAGTGAGCAAAAGATTTCATTAAAGAAAGGACTCTAATCCTTAATATTACAGTTGCAACAAGACGCCAAAAAATTGAACTTTTGCAATTTTTGAAAAATCATAGATTTCAACGAAAATTGGTACCTGCGGCATTTCTAAGCAACCTTTACCCTATCCGAGAAAAAAGTATTATTATTAAAAGTAAATTTCACCAAAAATGTGGAACAGTTTTCGGGGAAATTTCAAAATGTGCACGACGCCACGTGTGAAGTACCAAAATTAAAACATAGGTTCCGCCGGCAAAGGTGACTCAGGGCAACAACTTATGTCGCTGCAGTGCCTCTACCGGGGTTCCTGCCCCAGGGTTCGAATCCCTACGGTGGCCGGATTTTCGACACTAGCTGGGCAGTTAAGTCGAATTTAGCCTATGTCTGGAGGAGAATTCTAGGTGCCGGCTGTGCCTATCCATAGGTCTCCGTGTTTTTTCCAACCATTACCAGACGAATGCTGGAGCAGTATCCTAACAAACTGTCAATGGACGCGTTCTTTCCTTCCTCTACTTTGTCCTATCATCACATTTTACACACACACACACTTACACTAACATGCACTATACTACCACACATGCCGGGAGACCGGTTAGATGCTTAGAGCTTGTCCCGGCTTTGGCGGTACCTTGCTGATGGGAGATACCTGCTTAGGGAAAACCTCGCTTGCTGAGTAGGTCGGCGCCGGATCTCGCCATCAGCAGGGGAAGACCACAGCCACCGGACGACAAAAACATGTACTACACTTACGGGATTAATGACCGTAGTAGTTGAAGCTCCTGGAATCATTAACAATCAATCATTCAATCGAGTCCCGTCCGATCGATAGGGAAATATCACTTTTGGAGAAAAATATCTGAACGGTTATGGTGCTGGAGTTGACCACAGTCTAAGCGGACAGACATATAGTCGTAAACCAGTTTTCCTGTATCAACGACCCACAAAACGTGATTCCGGCTGTTCAAAGTGTTAGAGGAATACTTCACTACATAAAGCAACAGCATTTATCCACTTTTCCGGTGGCCCAACAATACGGATTTTCTTAATGCAATGCATTATTGCAGAGATGTGGTTCTAAAATGCGAACACACTCGTTCATAATGAACAAGAGTGACAAGAGCAACAGAATAGATGGTTTTGTCCTTGTCCTATACATTGTCCTATACGTTTGGATACAGGACCTATATAGGGGATGAAAATAAAAGAGAATAGATGTTAGTTTTAAAGATGTTTATAAAAGAACAATCGCAATTTTTTAGGAAAAAGCGTACTATTATGACAAAGAAAGCTTTTACTGCCGGTCCGAATGGCCAAGATTGCTAAGGCAGTAGTGCCGTAGCGATCTCGGACCGAAAGATCGCGGATTTGAGTCCCGCCTTGGGCATGGCTGTATTGTGTTCGTCCTTTCACGCCCCTATCATCATCATATCGTGTCATCCTCATAGTTACCATACCGTTACACGCAATAGTAGTAGCTAATGACCTAGTAGTTGATGCGACCTTAAATTACAAACAAAAAAACTTTTTACTGTTAAGAAAAAAAACAATGATTTGCTTCACCCTTGTACACTAATTGTAATAGAGTTCACACGTTATTCGAGCAGTATTAGTCTGTTTGAAATAATACAATATTCCTTTCATTTGTTCGTTACTTACATTGCAACCTGATACCGGACAATGAGCGCAAATTGTTGCTTCTCGTATTCTTAGTTGTTATGTTGCAACTGTCAATTCCTATCAAATGTCATGCACAAAGGAACGTGGTAAGAAATACATTGTATTTTTTTGCAGGTTGTTGCTTCGCTTCTTGATTGATGCTGATGCTTCATGCGTGGAAGAAAAATGTAGTACCACCGAGGACTTGCCTCAGCTAATTGAATTTGTCGTTATGATAAACTGCCTCATTCACAAGGTTAGTTCACACAAATTGTCGTGAAACAGCTGGTCAACTTTAAGTTTGAGATAACGAACAAACAGTGGAAATTTAGTTCATGTTATTTATTTCTTCGGCGTACGGGATTGCTAACATAGAGACTGCCCTTAGGCAGTGTTCCGCACTCGAGTTTTTGAGCCCAGGAGTCCTTGGACGTAGGTCTCGGAGGACCTTATTGAGCAAGCGCGCCTCGCGGGCGGTCCCCTGGTGCGCATGGGGCTTGACTCTCACTTTCTCAGCCAGATGTCGGTCTCAGTTAACTATATCCGAGCTATCTTTTTGGGAGAGAGTGAGATCTTGTTAGGACGGGATTTAATTTTGCTGGGCGTCTGCTAGGGTTATTTTACATGCCACAAGAACGACATGGCTACTGTGGATTTTTCGCCCTTCGAAAATGCACCTCGGATTGAACTCCGGGATCTAACTAGCGAATTTGGGCGTCCTGGGGCCAGTAAGCTAAGCGCACACCCACCGAGGCGCGCTCGTTCTTGTAATTAAAAAGCACTCAGAAAATATTTTGATACTTGTCGAAATTGGTAAACCAAGCAGGAGGGACACTAATCAATGTAAATTTCAGGAACAGCAGAACAAGTTAGCATATACGAAAAACGGCTTTCCAAAAGCATTTGAAAAACAGCACGCTCAATAAGAATTTATCTCGCGTATGAATTGAATTGAATTGAATTTGCCTTATTTTACGTGGCGAGACTCAAGCCATCAGGCCCGCTCTTCCGTCTGACCACGCAAATTTCGCTACGCTCCTTTCATCTAGCAGAGAAAGGAGGTATTTCTTGGGCGAGAAACAGGCGATTTTGAATTTAGCTCAGAGGCGTCATTTAGGCTTGAGGATCTTTTACATGCAAGTAAATCTACTAACATGGGACAGCCGGCTTTACTTCCCCTCCGAAGGAAGGCGTACGAAGGATTTTGTCGCCCGAAAAATCCACGGCTTCGATCGGATTTGAACCCGCGAGCTTGGGTATAACAGTCCGGTAAGCTAACCGTCACACCATCGCCGCCGCCGCCGCCGCGAATATCGGTTTGAAACTAATTTATTTATTTATTATTTGTTTACGTCAAAAACAGTTAATAACTGTGTGTGACGTGCTCTGGGCAGAAGTTAATTTGAAGCTACATTTATGTCCAGAAACAAAACAAGGGCCCATTTCAACATTTGTTGAAGCATCAGAGAAACTGGACGAGGGTCGAGATGAGGGTCAGAAGCTGAAGTACAATATTTGTTACAGGTTCTTTACAATTATATAATACATTAAATGTCATTGATAAAATTAATATTACTTTCCTTTTGGATGCTCGGTATAGTCTCTGATTGTATAGTAGTGCATCAGAAAAGATTTTACTTGGGTTTAGACTTTTGAATCGAATTTAATCCACTAATGTCATCTGGCAAGGTAGTGTAAAATAATGTACATGTATTGTATGTGAATTTCTTGTAGTGAGCTGTTGATATTGTCACCTGATGAATATGATTACTACGTCTACGATTACGTTTGATGAAAATATATTGCCGCCCATAAATAAGTCATTTTCTACAAAAACCACTGATTCATATATCAAGAGACAAGGTAATTGTCAAATACCTAGATTAGTAAAGAGAGGCATACAAAAATCACTTGGATGGGATTTTCTTATTATTCGTACAATTCTTTTTTGTAATCTAAAAGTCTGGGAACTTCAAGATGTGTTTTCACAGAATATTATGCCATATCTCATGCGGAATTGAACATTGGCGAAATATACACAACGAGCAGTATGGAGGCTGACTGAATTTGAAAGAATTCTGAAAGCGTAGCAAAAAAACTTAATTTAGTGTTCATTCACTTAAATGGACCCCATCAATTCCATTTAAGGTTTTACTGAATTGAAAGACCGAAAAATTTGTTACCTTAACATCAATCAATGGCACACCGTGCATTTTCAATGGAAAACGTAGCTGTTTATTTGAAATTGAAAACTTCATTGAAACCGTTTTCTTTTCATTTACTATTAATTTCTTATTACGGAACCAATTGAAAATATCTGATATTGTACTATTTACGGTTTCTTTATTTCGAAGAATATTCGTATCATCCGCAAAGAGAACGGTTCTTCCGTTTCAAATCGTTGATGGCATATCGCTTACGAATAATAGGAAGAGAATAGGGTCTAGATCAATCCCTACGGGATGCATGCAATTGGCAAAGAAATGTAAGGTGTGTACATAATGTTCCATTATGCCAGTAAGGTACTTCTACTCTTATATCGTAGTTTAAGTTACGCACATAACCAATCTAGAGCAATACCGACGCGAATTCCATAAGAATGTAATTTTGAAAGAAAAATGTTATGATGAATCACGTCAAAAGCTCTAAAAATATACCAATAGGTGGTTCGTTATGATCCATGGATGAGTCCACGTCTTTAAGAGACCAAAATATGTCTGTTTCCGTAGATTTTGATTCGCGAAACCCATGTTGGCAATCTAAAAACGCTCGTGTTTATAAAGAAAGGTTTCTATTCGTATGTAAAAATGTCTCTCTAATGTTTTTGAAAAAACTGACAAAAGATAAACTGGCCGATAATTTTGAAGTTCATTATTGTTGCCTCTTTTGAAAAGAGGCTTAATCTTTTGTTTCTGTTTTTAAAAAATCTGGAAACATACCTGTGCATATAGATACATTAAATATGTGAGTTAATCAGTATACTATAATGACTGCCGCACAAGTCTTTAACAAACAATCCGGAAATTCATTTAAACTAGCAGAATATTTATTTTTTAGTCTACCGACTATTTTGAGAATATCAGTGGAAGAAGTTTCGCAAACGAACATCGTGCCTAAAGTTTTGGGGGAAACGACTGATTTTGAATTTTGTGCCTGAAGACTTTTAGTGAGATCGGTAGCAATTCTCGAAAAGTATTGGTTAAAGAGACTAGCTACTGTTGCGACTAGACATCGTTCACATTTCTGTCGTTATCTTTTAAAACAATATTCTCAACAAGGTTTCTAATAGAGTTGGTCGAATTTTTTACTGTATTCCACATTTCTTTTGTTTTGTTATTTGAGTTCAAAATATCCTGATGCATGATTTTAGGCTGCCTTATGACTTTTTTAACAATGATTTGTAGTTTTTAAAGTAGAGGAGGAAATCTTGAGTTTTTTAAATTTTTTTTTTAAATTATTTTATGCACCTTAAATGTAGTTTGTATGTGGCATCTTTCCTACTGACGTAAATTTGGTTCCTTTGCATTACAGTAAATGCTGTTGGTGCACATGTAAATACTCATGTTTTAATATTTGTGATTATTGAATGAACTAAATTGCTTTACTAAATTCAAAAGAAGACCAACATGGTGAAAGTTGAGCCCTAAAACTTATTTAAACATTTGAGTTATAGATTCTTAAAATGTGTCTGTTTCAGACTATGGTGTGCACCACACAAATCAAGACCTATCAACTCGAGAACTTGCTGACAGCTGCAAGAATCGTATATGAGAACTTAAGAGTGTTTGTGGATTTCCTGGGAAGTTGTTGTAGTGTTGTGCGACACAAGATGACAAAAATGCACTATATCTAACTTGCTAGTTCCTTCATTGAATGGTAGTATGTGGTCAAGTTATTAGTAAATAAAGTTTCTCTAAATCTGCAGTTGATAGAAAGTATTGACTGCTACAAATAAAGTTGATACAGCTTCCCTTGTGTAAAAAGAAAATGTAACTTCCTAATTTAAAAAAATTGGACTGTATTGTATTGTTAATGTTATTTGCCTTGCACACACACAAAATTTCAATATCAGGGATCCACAAGGTCAGACAGAATTAGTTTAAAATAAAATATTTAAGAATAATAGTGTAAAATTAAAAATTTTTGACAAATCGTTTTGGTTATGAAGTTACTTTCATTAATTTTATTGCTGAACTCTACATAATTTGGTCTCATATTTAAATCAATTTCTGTTGAAATGGTCCTCAAATCTTTATATAAGCAAATGCAGGTAAATTTTCCAACATATTTTCTATTTACTGGATATTCTGTCATTCTATGCTGTATACAGCAATTGTTTCAGAGTTGAACTGCTATGGGTGCAAATATTAAAGGAATGTTACCGACATCAATTCTGCTCCCAGTGGAAACTTTAACAAGTTTTTTCAAGTCAGGATAACAACTATTAAAACTCTGGTTAATCACATTCCAACATACAATCTGTATTAAAATTGTATTTGTATTAAAAAGCAGTGCATTAATGACATAAAGGATTGCAGAAATAGATGTAATAGAAGAAGGCCCACACCACACTGAAACGTACCTTGCTGGTATAAATATTTGCACAATTTATTTCTTCGCAAGTAAAAAGTTCACTGTAAATGCCTGGTTTTAAGGCTATTGAGACAATTACATTAGTACATTATCTTTTCATATATTAATTATTTATGTAATGCAAACAAAAACAGAAAATGAGAAACAGAATGGAAAACAGGAAAGATCAAAATACTTGCTACTGACTTATCTATAATGATTTGCATAGCTAATATTTGTGGTGTAAACTATGAATACTACAATATTATAACTATAAAGGTTTAATTACAAGCAGAGAAAATGTTGAATATTGATATTTGCATTTGTTGCATTTATACTTGCAAGCTTTCTAAATCACAGCTCTCTAGAAATTGCAGATATAAGTTAAGGAATTGCATTAAAAATAATATTATTAATTAATTACTTTATTCAACAGATGTTACCAATAACTGCTCTGAATGAGTACACCAAAGAGAGAAAATTATATTATTTATCTTAAAACTTGTTACTACACCAACAGCTGGTATATTGTAATCGATAACCTGAGCTTATAAGGATATTATCATATTTATTGGAAATATAGACGAAATATAATAGTGCACATTGTCGAAATTGATTGAAGGTAGCCACATTCTATCTTTTAATTTATGGCATATTAAATAATTTCTATCTACATTATTTTAAAGCTACCTTTTATTTAATATGATGTTTAGTTAATAATTACAAAATTCACAGTATATAAATTATCTGTGCGTCTTACTTCTCAGTAGAGACTATGTTAATAATACGAATACTTTTTGGCGATATTTTATGGTGATAGAGATTGTTGTCCTTTTCCATAATTTGAAACATCCAACATCAATGAAAGTTTTATCCTGCTGTGTCCAACAAATAATTGCCAATTTTTATTAATTGCAATTTTAATTTTTTCTAACAACAATATTTTATATTATTCAAGACTGATAAGAGAAGGGTATTTGTGAAAGCTTTGGGCTCTAGACAAAGAACAATTAAATACCATTTGAGGAAGATTTAAAATGACATAAGACAGAAAAATATTGTTGGGTTTTAATGAATTTGCTATCATTTTATGTGATACTACTCTTATTATGATAATATTCATTAACTAAAGGTTAATGTGCATTACTTGAGCTTACAGATTGCATAATAATGCAGAAACAGCCCAGAACATAATTTGTACCTGTTAACTCTATAGAAATTATTTTTACCTCAAATTTAACATTTAAACTTGTTTGCTTGCTGTTATTTCAACAAGTTTATGAAATATATTTCATTCACCACATATTATTCTATGTTATCGGTATTATTTATGTTGTAATATGTTGAATTATAAAAATGAACATATTTTCTTACAAAGTATAATGCTTTTGTCACTAGTGTTTATTTGGAATAGGTGTGAAAAGAATGTCCGGTAAATTTATCTATCTATTTAGTGGTTCTTTTACAGCCTTGGCTGTTTTCTGCATCCATAGATCGTTTTCCTCCATTTCTCTTTTTTCCATGGCTTCAGTTATTGCCATGTTCCATGTTCTTCTTGGTCTTCCCCTGAATCTTCTTCAATTTGGTATCCACTCCCAAACTTTTTGAGGAAGTCTATCCAATTACAACCTTCTCATATGCCCATACATTTTAGTTGTTTCATTTCGATCGTCTCATTCAAGGTTGTTTGCACTTTCATTTTATTTTTTATTTCATCATTTCTTATTTTATTTAAGAGAGAAAGTTTACAACATCTTCGCCAGAACATCATTTCTGTTGATTGAAATTTGTCTTTCAATATTGTTGATAGTGTCCAGACTTCTGCCCCATAGAGTGTGGTACTCTCTATGAAGAAGCTATATATGTGTTTCTTTGTCTTCATTGAAATAATTGAGTTCCATAGCACTGGATTCAACTGTCTTGTGGCTATATATTTTTATTTTTCACATCCTGTTTGTCTCTACCATCTGCTGCTAGTGTGACTCCCAAATACTTATATTGTGTTTTACCTTTAATTATTCCTATACTAGTCTCTAAATCATGGGGCATACTTCCCACCACCATATATTCAGTTTTTTGTAAATATATTTCCATCCCCCATTTTCCATACTCTTCTACTAATTTTCTGAACATATAAGTTACATAATTTTCATCTTCAGCCATTATCACCTGGTCGTCTGCAAATAGTAGACTAAACAATGTTTCATCACCTATTTTCACACCCATGCTTCTGCACTTTCTTTTCCATTCTTTTAGGGTATATCTTAAACAGGGTTGGAGATATACAGCAGCCTTGCCGTAATCCTTTGTTTACTGTGAAGTTGTCTGCTAGACATTTTCCCACTTTTACTTTACTTTTGTTATCTTTATAACATTGTTTGACTGCATTTATGTATGTTGTTGATATACATTTTTCTTCCATTGCCCCCCATACGTCTTTTACTGGTACATTATCATAAGCCTTTTTGAGATCAATAAAAATTATGTGAAGTTCTCTTCCTCGCTCAATTGTTTTTTCCATAAGTTGTTTGAGACAGAAAATATTGTCAATACACAATCTTTCTGGTCTAAAACCACTTTGCTCTTCTGAGTCTGATGTTTGCATTTCAATTCTATTCTTTAGCACATGTCCATACAGTCTAACCAAAGATGAAGTCACACTTGAAAAGAATGTCCGGTAAATATCATGAAAATATTCTGAAGAGAATTCACAAAATAAAGTAGTGTATTTGGTTTTTAATATAAATAAATGGTATTTGTGTATATAAAATATTTATATATGTAACTACTACACAAAAGAAGTATTAATGGAGGAGGCGAATATGAGCTGAGACTGGCATTTCAAAATTAGTACCAACAACGACACTTTTGTTTGAGTAGAGTATGTTATCTTTAATTTATATATCCTGAGCTTTTATTTTCGATGTCAGCAAGTCAAGCAACAACAAATAAGGAGTGTTGTATGATTGAGTGTTGATGAGTTAGGTATGATTGTTTGTTCTGTTGATTTGCAGACCTCATCAGTGCTACAAAAAGGATAACAGTAATTTAGTACAAAATAACACAAAAAGAACACACTTACTTATTTTAAAAGTTTTTTATTTTCTGAGATGGAGCTGGTGGTGGTTTTGGTTCTCGTATACACTATTTTGTTTTTGTCTGAAAAGTAAATTTTGTTATTCTCACTAATAATTTTATTCCGTATTGTTCCTAGTGTTTTCCATACTAAATTACTATAATTATTTTTGATGTGCTAATGAGTTTTGCAAATCAGTATGTGGAACTTACATATTTGAATTACCCCCATTTTTGTTGTAGAAATCTTGCTGAAATCAAAAATAAAAATTTTTCGGTAGAATTTTTTTCAGTTCATGACAATAGTAATTTTAAGTAATTCTATGAAATATAATGTGACACGATTACACATAATAGTGCCGTATTCTTACTAAAAACGCAAATGATAAAATATGCATTATGAAGTATGTAGCATTTATAATGACCAAAATATGTGGATTCTAGCAGAAAATACATACAATATATTATTAAGAAATATTTCATTATATTAGCTTTTCCACTACAATAGATTGGCTCTGGTATTTTGCTCTGAATTTAATGAAACACTAAGAATGGCAATTATTCAATTTCTTGTAATCAAATTTATTAACAAAATATAAGAGAAATAACAATTTCACTTCATTAAGAAATTGAGGAAAGAGGATGTGAATAATTAGTATATATCCTCAATATAAGTTTAAAAATATATGCATAACTGAACTCATTAAAAGTACCTGAAAATATTTTTTAAGAATATACAATCAACAACTCAATAAAAATGCATTGTATTCTTCAGTGTACCACAATATATCATAATATAAATAACAACTCAAATGATCATAATTGTCATTGTATGTTATATATATTATTTGAGAGTTGTTTACTTAGAACATCTTATGAAGTGGAAGAATTCCAATTTAATAATGGTTCGAGCAAATTCACCAATTAATGATATGTGACAATACTGATTACTTCAGTAACATAAGATTTTCTCCAAGCTTTACTTTGAGTGCTTTCCAAATATGAAGTATTATGTCACATATTTAGCCAGACTCCAATAGTATATCAAAGATGAAATTAAGACCTTATTTCCAAAGTGACAAATCTTCATTCCTGCTTTATCTAACTTTACTTATCAATATATTAAGACACTTCTCCATCATACTGGCATACATCAAGTTCAGAAGTGTTCTTTCTCCTATGTTAAATAGTATCTGAGAAATGTTGAATCTCGTATTCTATTAGACTAAATTAGAATGCTTTTCATTACTGAAAAATTATATTTCTTGGAAATCTATCCCTTTGTGAATAAGCTCTTCAGTTCTTTTTGTCGCAAATAACTCAAAATAGTAATGGAAGGAGTGCGATGCTTTATAAAAAATATGTTCTGCAGTGCTTTTGAAGTGGAGAATACAGAAGTAAATATTGAATGTGGGTTGTTTATCAAATGTAATTATTAAATACCACATGCTCTAATCATCATTGGGGTGTCTTACATTTATTGTATTAGTAGTTAATTTTGAATGAAATACTGTACACTCAATGGTGAGCTGAGATGTGAAAGGAAGGAAGAACCATAACGGTCTTACATTGCTTGATGTTTCTGCATTTACAGGTCAATGTCATTTAAATGTATTGTTCAATTGTATGAATATAAATGTAGTCATAAACATCTTAAAAATGTGTTTAATTCAATAATTTTTTTGTTAAATTAATAATTATTTTATTTCAATTCCTTTGCACTCTTTATTTTACTTACAGACAATCGGTCACATAGTGCAATTGTGTTTGTACTTCACTAGTTCTAGTTCTTAAAACAACACTATGTAAGTAGTACAAAAATGAAATGTTAAAAGATGAGGCAATGATAGGAGTTGAGTCTGGCAATTTGAAATGAGTGCACAAAAGCCAACTTTTAAGAGTACTTTCCTTGATCCAAGT